GTGGAATTTAAGAAACAAACAGAGGATCATAGGGGAAGAGAGGAAAAAATAAAACAAGATGAAACCAGAGACAAACCGTAAGAAACTGTTAATCACAGGAAACAAACAGGGCTGCTGGAGGGGAGGGAGGTGGGGGGATGGGGTAACTGGGTGATGGACATTGAGGAGGGCACACGACGTAATGAGCACTGTGTATTATATAAGACTTATGAATCACTGACCTCTATTTCTGAAACCAGTAATACATTATGTTAATTAACTGCATTTAAATTTTAAGAATTAGAGATAAAAAAAAACTTTTTGAGACTGCTGTGGTGAAACATGGGTCAAAACAAATGAATAATTATGTTAGCATGGTTGAGGACTAGCCTGTTTTGTTTTTTTTTTTAATATTTTATTTATTTACTTGACAGAGAGAGAGATAGTGAGAGCAGGAACATAAGCAGGGAGAGTGGGAGAGGGAGAAGCAGGCTTCCCGATGCGGGGCTTGATCCCAGGACCCCGGGATCATGAGCTGAGCCGAAGGCAGATGCTTAACAACTGAGCCACCCAGGCGACCCAAGGACTAACCTGACTTTTTAGAGCCCCCAGTTTCCTCATATAGAAAGTGGGGATAATGCCATCTACTTTCACTTGATTGTTGTCAGGTTTAAATAAAAATGACATTAATGTGTGTGATGCATTCAAATAACAGAGACTATCTCCATGCTTCAAATCTATTAGACCTATTAATGTCTCGTTCACAATGCTGCACCTTAGTACAAACCCTACACCATTCCTTTCAACATTCAAAGAAAACTTACTGAGCACCAGTCAGATACTGACAACTCCTCCATGAAGTCAGCTCTGACTAGACCAGCCAGAACTGCTTTCATTTTGGGAACTCCCTAATGCCTGACCATTCATTTCAGCACTTACTCAGTTATAATTCCGTAGCAATGCTTTGTGCTTCCCACCCATAAAACCTGTCACTGAAAGGACAGAAAATGGTGTGTTTTTTCTTGGGTATTATCACAATGAAGGTCATACTTAATAAGTAACTAAGAAAAGAGTCCTTCTGGACTCTGGCTCTGGTTTTGCTCAAAAGCTCAGCTCCTTAATCACTGCATCTGTTTTACAGCCTACTATATAGCCTGGTATAGTACTGGTTTTCAAACCATTTAACAGCAGAATCTTTTCAAGAAATAAAATCAATACGTAACATCGATGCAAGCAGATCAGCTCTGGTTAAAATGAGAGCAAGGCCTGAAGTACCAACCTGACATCTGCCCCCAGCTGTCATCCCCCTGTGGCACCCTATACAGAATCCCTAATCTATCTAGAACCAGTGTGAATACCTACGCAGTAGTAAGGACAGTATTGCCAGGAGAACCGAGCTCTGACACTAACAAGGTTACCTGATTAATTTGACCCCTTCCCTCCATCTGCTTTCCAAAATCCCTCTAGTTTTACTCCCTAGACAGGAAAGTCTCCAGGCTTAAAAGAAATGTCTTGAACACAGGGGGATAATTTTCTTAAAACCAGAGTTCTAGAGCAATGCTCATACCAAGAGTGCACAACTTCCTGGGACCACATTATTTTTCCTTATTTTAACAAGTGTTAAACTTCTGAAAGCAAAGCAAAGCTAAAGTAACACCCTGAGCAATTAGAGGAGAAGCTGGGACAAAGAGACATTCTAAGTGGCTTGTTAAATTTGTAAAGAACAGTCCTCACAATATGCTTCCTTATATTCATCATCAGTCAGGAATGATTGTACAAAAATTCCATCAACACTAAGACTCATCTTTTTGTTGCTAAAATAAATCCAGACAAGAGCAATGGACTTAGTGTAGGCACTTGAATCAGAATTTTTTTTAGCATTCAGCACCAACAGAGACAGAGTCAGTGGGCCTGAGATAAGTGAAAACAGAAGTTGCCATAGTAACTTGCACATTTACCCTAAAAAGGCAGGAGTGGGGGTGGGGTGGGGAAGTAGGTCAATATTTCTACTTAACTAGCTCTAGTCCTTGGCTTCCTCTCATTGAAAGCAGCATCCTATCTCCCCATCCCTAACAGGAACAAGAGGGGGAAAAAGTCAGACAAGCATTTCAAAACGCAAGGGGTGGGGAGAGGTCCAGGTGGAGGGAAGGAGAACCAAGAGGACAGCCCACTGAAAACCTCACCAGTGCCCTGGGACTACCCCTGGGAAAGCAGCTGCTGATCAAGAGAACCAGTGCTAAGAAACTGTTGCTGGGTTACTGCAAATCAGAAACTGCCATTTTCCCTGTAGCAGTTTGAGTGCACCTAATGGAACACTTGGGAACGCATTATTAACAGCTTTGAGTTGAGGGTAGTGGTGGGGAGGGAGTACTCTGGCATGGGAGAAACACGAGGCCCTTTGCAAGAATGCCTCTTTGCAAGAGGCATTCTTTAATGGTTGAAACTACAAATAGGGCTCAAGCATGGCCTAAAAGACAGGGAGGGAGAAGGTTCCTTTTCAAAATAAGCTAATTCTGCTAACACAGAAACATAGTGCCCTTTGATATTTTGATCTGAAATGGCTACTAATCCAAGAGGGCAAAGGTAACTCTGGGCTCTGAGATGGCACGGAAAGTGCCAGAGCCCATCATAAGCTCTTCCACCTGCGGCGCCAACAAATGTAGGAAGCAGATTAAACAGAAAGCATTTGGAAACAGGCGCAGTTCCACTTTCCTGCAACTGTTAGTGTCTGCACAGGGATAACCCAGTGTCTACAGAGGGATAACCTAGGGCATTACTAAGGATTTTAACAATTTGGTGTGAAAACGCCAATATTCTAGAAAATGACAGAAAGGATAATCCTATAGGGAGGTAAAAAAAAATTAGGACCATCTTTTTAAACAGTGGACATTTCAAACACTGACTTCTAGTTTCCCTACTGCATTGTACAGAGGTGGGTATAGACTTCTACATGATAGGTCATTCAAACTTGACTGGGAGACACATTTCTTTCTCTTTTTTTTTTAAGATTTTATTTATTTGTCAAAGAGAGAGAGAGAGTGAGAGCACAAACGGGGTAGCAGCAGGCAGAGGAGAAGCAGGTGCCAGCTGAGCAGGGAGCCCAACGTGGGGCTCGATCCCAGCACCCTGGGATCATGACCTGAGCCGAAGGCAGACACTTAACGGATTGAGCCACCCAGGCGCCCCTGGCAGACTTCCTTCAACGCAGCAGCACACCTAGTAGCAGAGTGCAGGAAGGACAGGCTGAGTTTTCAATGTGAGCCCATGTATTCAGAAACATCTGCAAACTGGGGCGCCTGGGTGGCTCAGTTGGTTAAGCGACTGCCTTCGGCTCAGGTCATGATCCTGGAGTCCCGGGATCGAGTCCCGCATCGGGCTCCCTGCTCGGCAGGGAGTCTGCTTCTCCCTCTGACCCTCCTCCCTCTCATGCTCTCTGTCTCTCATTCTCTCTCTCTCAAATAAATAAAATCTTAAAAAAAAAAAAAAAGAAAAGAAACATCTGCAAGCTGTCCGCTTGTGGTTCTGCACATGTCTCTACTGCTCTAGACACAGCAACATTTAAGATGACTTGAAAGACCAAGTGCAACTAAGCCTTTGGGAGAGGAGCAACCAGAACACGCATATTGTATGGACAGGGGGTCAGAAAGCGGGAGGACCAGGTACCAGATCCCCACAAATACCACGGGAGTACAGTGCTGAGCAATGTATGCATAAACTTAATATAGAACCATGGCTCCAGCAACAAGGTCGAGCACTCCTGTGAAGGAACTATGAGAATAAACAGATGCTATTCTATTACCACCTCTCAGTACAGCCCAGAAAAATTATTCAGTCTAACCAGTTCAGAAGTATTTTTCCTTTACACACAATAGCACAGAGGACAAAGAGAAGTTTGTAGAACAAATTATCATTATTTTTTTTATTATTATGTTATGTTAATCACCATACATTACATCATTAGTTTTTGGTGTATAGAACAAATTACTTTTTAAAACATTCTATTCCAGGGGCACCTGGGTGGCTCAGTCGGTTGGGCGTCTGCCTTTGGCTCAGGTCATGATCCCAGGACCCTGGGAACAAGTCCCGCATCGCATTGGGTTCCCTGCTCAGCAGGGAGTCTGCTTCTCCCTCACTGTCTGCCCCTCCCCCCCGTTTGTGCACTCTCTCTCTCTCAAAATAAATAAAATCTTAAAAAACAAAAACAACAACAAAAATATTCTATTCCAGAAAATGTTCAAGCTTAAGCAGATGCAAAGTAGAGAAACTAGAATAATGACCTATCACCCAGCTTCAAAACTGACCAATTTTCTACTGGTAATTTTAAAGCTAACACACAACCTTTTACTGCAATGATCCCTAAATGTTACATATCAAAAGCCTGCAACCCCAAACAGCAATTTCTGTATTCACCAATAACCACAGGAAACAGCTTCTCTATGAAAGTATCAAAATAAACAGACTTCAATTTCAATTCTTAAGGAATATCCAGCAGAATAATTATATTTGCAAGGTGTTTCTACAGGTTATATTACCTGAATTTTTAATTCCCAAAAGACACATTTCTAATTCATTTATATATGCTGAGCAAGAATCACTGTGTTGCACAAACCCAGAGAAAGCCTCCATGGTCACCACAGTCAGCCTTCTAGGACTGTGTCTTTTTTTTTTTTTTTTTAAGATTTTATTTATTTATTTGACAGAGAGAGAGACATAGCAAGAGAGCGAACACAAGCAGGGGGAATGGGAGAGGGAGAAGCAGGCTTCCCGCTGAGCAGGGAGCCCGACACGGGGCTCGATCCCAAGACTCTGTGATCATAACCTGAGCCGAAGGCAGACGCTTAACGACTGAGCCACCCAGGTGCCCCAGGACTGTCTTATTTCACAACCACTTCCCATTCCGAAATAAGCATTTGGGGCAAACTTCAAGGAAACCAAGGCAGTACAGATTTAGTTCATTTGTGATCTACTAAAACCCATCATGCGCTTGCATTTGGAGAAGCTAAAGCAAAGTCTCTACTTACTGGTACTGTAACATCATCATAAAAACTCCAAGCTAAAGCCCATCTCATTGTCCGACCTTGACAGAACTCAGTGTAGGTGACTTTAGGAACCTGAAACCAACAAACATGTCATCTTAATCAAATTGAAGTAATTCTACCAGTATGTTTTGGGTTGTTGCCTCATATTAATTATGTGTTCGTTTTTCTTTTTATCAGTTAACAAACACTACTATCCCAAAACAGTTATGCATAGCTATCTAAATTATCTCCCAACAAAGTTGTGTTTTGTTTTTTTCTCTCCTAAAACATTAGAGAGAATTTAGAGTTCTGGTTTCAAAGTCCAAATATTCAAAACACCCAAAATAACACAGCTCTTCAAAGAACCACTGGTAAATGATTCAAATGTTTTTTTTTCTTTTCTTTTCTTTTGGGAAAACGAGCCACCAAAGCCTAGCTAGATACAGCTATGCAGTCTCCCTTTTTGTCTATCAGATTTTAGGGGGGAAAAAATGAAACTACTTTGTTGCTGTTAGAATTTTAACAAAGAAAAGGTGTGATAGGGAAATCAGGATGGGTACAATGTCTGAGAGAAACCAGAAATCAGAAGCTTGGTCTCTACCACTGACCACACATTTGACCTCCTTCTCTGAAAAGTAATCTGGCTCACGCTTACTTGTGCCCAAACACCATAAACTGGGAGAGGAGTCAGGAGGCAGTATTAATTTGCCACCTGCTTTTCAAAAGAGAAGCAAGGGGCTGAATTAATGTGGACTGCACCATAAAGGGAAGCAAACTTGCAGGAGTATCATTCTAGTTCTAGCTGATCTTTGATAACTAGTTATGTAACCCAGAACAGGCCGCTAACGTATATCAGTTTCTGAGATCATAAAGCAGTCAGATGTGGAGTGAGTGACAGGTAGAACCAGGTGTTCTGATTTCTGGTATCTCTCTGATGTTGTACCCATCCTGTTTTCCTCCATCTTTTCTCTAACTGTCAAAGAAGGCCTTTTAAAAATAATTTATAAAAAGCCTCTTTTACAAAATTAAAAAATAAAAACAAAACACATTTAGAGTTTAAGGTATAAAGGAAAATTCCATACTCTAACTCCCATCCAGAGGAGATGTATTAGAATAGTAATGACAAAGACTTACCCCTTGTATACGAAGTTCTTCCTTCAGAGGAGCCAGGCTGCATTTTTTCCCCAGCATACAGCTATACCACCTAGGGGAAAAAAAATCAGAGAAGTAAAACACTGTTTACATGGTTACATTTTTAAATTAAGCATTTTTCACATGAAAAAAATGAGAACAGCAAAAAATTTTGAGTTAAGTTACAAGCAACAATAACAAAAATTTTATTTAGACAAAGAGCAAACCTAGCAAAGGAAAACAAAGGCACCTGGGTGGCTCAGTCTGTTAAGCATCTGCTTTCAGCTCAGGTCATGATCCTGAGGTCCTGGGATTGAGTCCTGTGTCGGGCTCCCTGCTCAGTGGGGAGTCTGCTTCTCCCCCTGCCCCTCCCTCCTCCCGCCCCATTCATGTGCTCTGTCTCACATAAATAAATAAAATCTTAAAAAAATAATAATAATAAAATAAGGGAAAACAAGCCCAAAGCAACTTAAAAAAAACAAAAACCCACTTAGCCTCTCCAATGATTCAGGACTGTACATATTTGGAAAGAGAGTGAAAAAGAGAGAGGTCTCCCCTGTGACACTCAGAATAAAGGCCATTTGGCCTTTAGGACAGAAATTAGTTAATAAATAACAATAAAAACATGTATACCTGAAACTACTACAATATTGTATGTCAAATTATACCTCAACTAAAAAAAGTATGAACACCCCCCTATACCATCTTAATAAAAATTGTAAAATCTGGCATGTACCTATACTCTGAGATGGCCTCATCTTCAAATGATTTAAGGATATATATTAGGGTTTCAAAAGAATATGAAGTCAATTTCTTCTAGTAAACACAAATCTAGAAGAGGGAGTGGGGAGAAGATGGAATGAACTGGTTAAAAGGTAAAATAGAATTCAGCCTATGAAAGATTAACTACTATGCATTCTATCATAAGCAACTAGGAAACCTGGCCAAATAAATGTAACAATTGTTTTTCAGACATTGGACAACTGCAGTGAAAACCTATAATCTCCAGGAGAGAAACAAACCAGGTGAGTCCCATAATTGGCAAAGCTTACTGCCTGAAGGAAATTTCCAAGCAGCAATGCAGGGAAAGGAAACTCAAACAGAGACCAATAATCTTTTTTTTTAATTTCTTATTGTTATGTTAATCACCATACATTACATCATTAGTTTCAGATGTAGTGTTCCATGATTCATTGTTTGTGCATAACACCCAGTGCTCCGTGCAGAACGTGCCCTCTTTAATAGCCATCACCAGGCTAACCCATCCTCCCACCCCCCTCCCCTCTAGAACCCTCAGTTTGTTTTTCAGAGTCCATCATCTCTCATGGTTCGTCTCCCCCTCTGATTTCCCCCCCTTCATTCTCCGCTCCCCCCGCTATCATCTTCTTCTTTTTTTTTTTTCTTAACATATATTGCATTATTTGTTTCAGAGGTACAGATCTGAGATTCAACAGCCTTGCACAATTCACAGCGCTTACCAGAGCACATACCCTCCCCAGTGTCTATCACTCAGTCACCCCATCCCTCTCACGCCACCCCCCACCCCAGCAACCCTCAGTTTGTTTCCTGAGATTAAGAATTCCTCATATCAGTGAGGTCATATGATACATGTCTTTCTCTGACTTATTTCGCTCAGCATAATACCCTCCACTTCCATCCACGTCATTGCAAATGACAAGATCTCATTCCTTTTGATGGCTGCATAATATTCCATTGTGTATATATACCACCTCTTCTTTATCCATTCATCTGTCGATGGACATCTTGGCTCTTTCCACAGTTTGGCTATTGTGGACATTGCTGCTATAAACATCGGGGTGCACGTACCCCTTTGGATCCCTACATTTGTATCTTTGGGGTAAATACCCAGTAGTGCAATTGCTGGATCATATGGTAGCTCTATTTTCAACTTTTTGAGGAACCGCCATACTGTTTTCCAGAGTGGCTGCACCAGCCTGCATTCCCACCAACAGTGTAGGAGGGTTCCCCTTTCTCCGCATCCCCGCCAACATCTGTCGTTTCCTGACTTGTTCATTTTAGCCATTCTGACTGGTGTGAGGTGGTATCGCATTGAGGTTTTGATTTGGATTTCCCTGGTGCCGAGCGATATTGAGCACTTTTTCATGTGTCTGTTGGCCATTTGGATGTCTTCTTTGGAAAAATGTCTGTTCATGTCTTCTGCCATTTCTTTCTTTTTTTTTTTTTCTTTAAAAGGATTCCACCAGTTGAGAAATGATCATATTCTTTTTTTTTTTTTAAAGATTTTATTTATTTGACAGCAAGAGAGGGAACATAAGCAGTGGGAGAGGGAGGAGCAGGCTTCCCACGGAGCAGGGAGCCCGATGCGGGGCTCGATCCCAGGACCCTGGGATCATGACCCGAGCCGAAGGCAGACGCTTAACAACTGAGCCACCCAGGCGCCCCTGCCCATTTCTTGATTGGATCATTTGTTCTTTGGGTGTTGAGTTTGATAAGTTCTTTATAGATTTTGGATACTAGCCCTTTATCTGATATGTCATTTGCAAGTATCTTCTCCCATCTGTCGGTTGTCTTTTGGTTTTGTTGACTGTTTCTTTTGCTGTGCAAAAGCTTTTTATCTTGATGAAGTCCCAATAGTTCATTTTTGCCCTTGCTTCCCTTGCCTTTGGCGATGTTTCTAGGAAGAAGTTGCTGCGGCTGAGGTCGAAGAGGTTGCTGCCTGTGTTCTCCTTTAGGATTTTGATGGGACTCCTGTCTCTGTCAACCATTTGGAGTCTATTTTTGTGTGTGGTATAAGGAAATGGTCCAGTTTCATTCTTCTGCGTGTGGCTGTCCAATTTTCCCAACACCATTTGTTGAAGAGACTGTTTTTTCCATTGGACATTCTTTGCTGCTTTGTCAAAGATTAGTTGACCATAGAGTTGAGGGTCCATATCTGGAGCCCAATAATCTTGAATTGGTGAGCAAGAGCCTGGATTTCAAAGGCCCAGGCAGTAAGGATTTGAAGAGCAAAATACAAGACAGGAAGGACTTGCATAGAGAGAGAATTCTAGGCATCCACAGAAAAGTTCCCTGGAATATTTTACAGAATAAGGATTTGTACCTGTGAGGTGGAACTCCATGAAACTAGGGGAAAAAATTCCCAGAGTGGCTCCTGAGTGGCTCAATCAATTAAACATCCAACTTTGATTTCCCCTCTGGTCATGATGTCAGGGTCCTGGGACCAAGCCCTGTGTTGGGCTACACACTCAACAAGGAGTCTGCTTAAGGATTCTCTTCCCCCCCAAACTCTCTCTCTAAAATAAATAAATATTAAAAAAAAAAAAAAAATCCCCAAAAGCAATAAGCTGAACAATTCCTGGAGTCCAGACATAGCTAGACTAGTTTGCAGTTCTACTGGCCAGAGCAGAAAGCCCTTGTTAATAAAAGGGGCATCTATCTAGTGGAGTCCTAGAAAGTATACTGCTTTGTAATGAGTCTAGAGGCTATTCTATATTTACCCTATTGAAGCTTAAAAGTAAAACTCAAAAGGCTCAAAAATCACAAGTAACTTAAGTAAGCATCAGAATCTGACATTCTTTAAAGGAACACAATGAAATCCAGCACCCCAAAACATAAGATTTGCAATGTCTAGCATCCAATAAAAATGACCAGATATTAAAAGAAGCAGGAAAATTACCTGCAACCAGGATAAAAAAAATCAATCATTAGAAACAGATCAAGATGTCAATGCTACCTAGAGCAATCTACACATTCAATGCAATCCACATCAAAATACCATCCACTTTTTTCAAAGAAATGGAACAAATAATCCTAAAATTTGTATGGAACCAGAAAAGACCCCACATAGCCAGAGAAATGTTGAAAAAGAAAAGCAAAGCATCACAATTCCAGACTTCCAGCTCTATTACAAAGCTGTCATCATCAAGACAGCATGGTACTGGCACAAAAACAGGTACAAAGATCAATGGAACAGAATAGAGAGCCCAGAAATGGACCCTCAACTCTATGGTCAACTAATCTTCGACAAAGCAGGAAAGAATGTCCAATGGAAAAAGGACAAGTCTCTTCAACAAATGGTGTTGGGAAAATTGGATAGCCACATGCAGAAGAATGAAACTGGACCATTTCCTTACACCACACACAAAAATAGACTCCAAATGGTTGAAAGACCTCAATGTGAGACAGGAGTCCATCCAAATCCTAAAGGAGAACACAGGCAGCAACCTCTTTGACCTCAGCCGCAGCAACTTCTTCCTAGAAACATCGCCAAAGGCAAGGGAAGCAAGGGCAAAAATGAACTATTGGGACTTCATCAAGATAAAAAGCTTTTGCAAAGCAAAGGAAACAGTCCACAAAACCAAAAGACAACCGACAGAATGGGAGAAGATATTTGCAAATGACATATCAGATAAAGGGCTAGTATCCAAAATCTATAAAGAACTCATCAAACTCAACACCCAAAGAACAAAGAATCCAATCAAGAAATGGGCAGAAGACATGAACAGACATTTTTCCAAAGAAGACATCCAAATGGCCAACAGACACATGAAAAAGTGCTCAATATCGCTCGGCATCGGGGAAATCCAAATCAAAACCTCAATGAGATACCACCTCACACCAGTCAGAATGGCTAAAATGAACAAGTCAGGAAACGACAGATGTTGGCGGGGATGCGGAGAAAGGGGAACCCTCCTACACTGTTGGTGGGAACGCAAGCTGGTGCAGCCACTCTGGAAAACTGTATGGCGGTTCCTCAAAAAGTTGAAAATAGAGCTACCATATGATCCAGCAATTGCGCTACTGGGTATTTACCCCAAAGATACAAATGTAGGGATCCGAAAGGGTACGTGCACCCCAATGTTTATAGCAACAATGTCCACAATAGCCAAACTGTGGAAAGAGCCAAGATGTCCATCGACAGATGAATGGATAAAGAAGAGGTGGTATATATACACAATGGAATATTATGCAGCCATCAAAAGGAATGAGATCTTGCCATTGGCAACGACGTGGATGGAAGTGGAGGGTATTATGCTGAGCGAAATAAGTCAAACAGAGAAAGACATGTATCATATGACCTCACTGATATGAGGAATTCTTAATTGCAGGAAACAAACTGAGGGTTGCTGGAGTGGGGGGTGGCGTGGGAGGGATGGGGTGGCTGGGAGACAGACACTGGGGAGGGTATGTGCTCTGGTAAGCACTGTGAATTGTGCAAGGCTGTTGAATCTCAGATCTATACCTCTGAAACAAATAATGCAATATATGTTAAGAAAAAAAAAAAGGAAGAAGATAGCAGGAGGGGAAGAATGAAGGGGGGGAAATCGGAGGGGTAGACGAACCATGAGAGACGATGGACTCTGAAAAACAAACTGAGGGTTCTAGAGGGGAGGGGGGTGGGAGGATGGGTTAGCCTGGTGATGGGTGTTGAGGAGGGCACGTTCTGCATGGAGCACTGGGTGTTATGCACAAACAATGAATCATGGAACACTAGATCTAAAACTAATGATGTAATGTATGGGGATTAACGTAACAATAAAAAAATTTTTTAAAAAAATTCAGCTTTACAGAGGTATAATTAACAAATAAAATTATATATATTTAAAGTGCAAAAAAAAAAAAGAAATACCTTTCATAAAGCTCTAGCTGTCATAGATAGTGATTCCTCTCATGGATCTGGACAAAGTATACTGAATACCTTCTGGAAAGGCTTCACCATTCTAGATGCCATTAAGAACATTTGGGATTCACGGAAAGAGGTCAAAATAACAACATTAACAAAAGTTTGGAATGAAGCTGATTCCATCCCGCATGAATGACTTTTGGGGACTTAAGATTTAGTGGAGGAAGTAACCACAGATGTGGTGCAAATCGCAAGAGAATCAGAATTACAAGAGAACTTGAAGATGTGACTCAATAGCTGCAATCTCATGATAAAACTTGAATGGATAAGGAGATGCTTCTTCTGGATGAGCAAAGAAAGTAGTTTCTTGAGCTAGAATCTATTCCTAGTGAAGATGCTATGAAGACTGTTGAAATAACAACAAAGGATTTAGAATTTTACATAAATTTAGTATAGAAGTGGCAGCAAGGGGGCACCTAGGTGGCTCAGTCGTTAAGCGGCTAACTTCGGCTCAGGTCATGATCCCAGGGTCCTGGGATCGAGTCCTGCATCGGGCTCCCTGCTAGGCGGGGAGCCTGCTTCTCTCCCTCTCCCACTCTCCCTGCTTGTGTTCCCTCTCTCGCTGTGTCTCTCTCTGTCAAATAAACAAAATCTTAAAAAAAAAAAAAAAAGAGGTGGCAGCAGGGTTTGAGAGAATTCACTCTAATTTTGAAAGAAGTTCTGCTGTGAGTGGAATGTTATCAAACAGCATCGCATTCTACAGAGAAATGGTGTGAAAGAGTCAATCAACGCAGCAATCTTCATTGTTGCCTTATTTAAAGAAACTGCCATAGCCACTCCAACCTTCAGCCACCACCAGTGAGCAGCCATCAACACCGAGACAAAATTCCCCCACCAGCAGAGAGCTTACAACTCATTGAAAGCTCAGATGAGTCAGCATTTTTTAGCAATGAAGTATTTTTAATAAGGTCTGTACATTTTTTAGATATAATGCTACACATTTACTATAGTATAGCTGTATGTGCATATAACATATGTACCAGGAGACCATTCATTTAACTTGCTTCATATTGCAATATTCACTTCATTGCTGTGGTCTAGAACCAAACCCACAGTATCTCCAAGGTTTGGCTACATGCAGTTTTCACAGCATTCTAAAATTTGAGAGTTGCAGAGTGGTACAAACATTATGTCAACTATAAAAATATGTAGGAGGACACGAACTGATACTATGTACAAATGAAAATCAACATGGAACAAATGTGAAATTGTAAACAATGAGAAATACTCTCAAAAAACATTGTTTTAGTCTCTTTTCAATAAAAATGAGTTAATTTCTTCTTTTCCTTTTATTATCTCTCTCAAACTGCCTGCGTCCTAATAGAGCAGACAAGACTGCTGAACCCTATGTTTAAATAAATCATAAATGGACAATGTTTTCCATCTATGATACCAAGTTCAAAATGGTCAACTCTCACGAGATATGATGGGCTCTAGCAATTTATCCTTCCTAGCAAACATGTACCTTTCATTCAATTTGGGGGCTGCCACTGAGCCAGGTATAGGCAGACTTGGAACATAGTAATCAATTTCTCTCCCTGCTGTGCCTGGGGTGCCCGGGTGGTTCAGTCAGTTAATTATCTGCCTTTGGCTCAGGTCATGATCCCAGGGTCCTGGGATGGAGCCCTGTGTTGGGATCCCTGCTCAGTGGGGAGCCTGCTTCTCCCTCTGCCTGCCACTCCCCACCTCTCTCTCTGACAAATAAATAAAATCTTAAAAAAATAAAAATAATGGTGTTCCTTCAAAACATATTTTTGAAGTTCTGGGGCGCCTGGGTAGCTTGTCGGTTAAGCTTCTGAGTGACTCTTGATTTCGGCTCAGGTCATGATCTCAGGGTTGTGAGATCGAGCCCCATATCAGGGCTCCATGCTGGGGATGGAGTCTGCTTAAGATTCTCTCTCCCTCTCCCTCTGCCCTACACCACCTCCTTAAAAAAATAAAAATAAAACACACTTTTGTAGTTCGAATGGGACTTCAGAAATAATAGAAATTTACCAATTAAAAGCCTCCTGAAAACAACCTTCCCCATTTTCCTGGTCGGCTCCAGTCCCTCAAAAGCCGACAGTAGATTCTGAAGCAGCCACATGGCCCCGGTTACCTCTTTTCACAGTTTCAGTGCTTTGTTACCTCCTTTAAGCTTATTTTACTTATTCAAACTCTTCTCAATGCTCAGTGTAACTTAAGTCACTTTCTTCTTCATACCCTAATAGGTCTTTGAAGAAATCAATTTAATGAAGAAATTTATTAACCTTTGGCTTCAACGATGTGTAAATCTTGAGAGGCAAACCACCCAATAATCCAGTTGCTTCCCGCAAATGTATAAACTCACATTTAACAAATTAGGATATTCATTGTTTTGGAATTGGCCTTTAAGTAAAATAAGCAGCTTTAAACACATATAAATCCAGAAGAAAAAGAAAAAAGTGTTCCTTATCTGGCAATTTCACTGGGTTTATATACAAAAGAATTGAAAGCAGGGTCTTACGAGATATTTGCACTCCTTTGTTCACAGCAACATTATTCACAATAGCCAAAAGGGGAAAGCAACCCAAATGTCCATCAAAAGATAAATGAATAAACAAAATGTGGTATATACATACAATGGAATATTAATATTATTCAACCTTAAAAAGGAAGGAAATTGTGATATATGCTATAACATGGATGAAAACTGACGACACACTATGGTAAGTGAAAGAAGCCAGTCACGAAAGGACAAACACTATAAAAAGTCCCTAGAATAATCGAATTCACAGAGACAGAACTGTGTTTGCCAGACGTTGGGGTGAAAGGGAGGAATGAGGGATTGCTGTTTAATGTGTAGAGAGTTTAAGTTTTGTAAGAAAGAGTTCTGGAGATTAGCTGCGTAACAATATAAATGTACTTAACGCTACTAAACTATATACTTTAAAATATACAGTTTCATGTTAAAACTATAAATTTCATGTTATGTGTATTTTATCAAAATTTAAAAAAAATCGTCTCTATGTCCCAAAACTAAATCCTAGGGTTATAAACCCTTTCACTTTTGAACTATCACATTACCCATCATTTCAACAACACTTGGCAGGGTGAGAAGTCAAGCGAGACAAATAGCACTTTTCGAGTACCTTATGCTGCTTAATGACAGGTGTGTTGTCTGAAATAATTAGCTTTTAAAAAGGAATAGCCTTAACTCTCCTCTGGAACTGGTTAGTGATCTCAGTTTCCCTTCATTAAGTTCTTGACAGTTCAATGTCCTCACATCTGTCATTGTTTGGGAGACTGATTCCAAGAACGTAATTGCATCAAGGACTAGGCAACAAATTTATTCCGGTTCATGGGACAGATCTGAACCCATCTGTTTTCTAATCAAAAGCCATATTTGAATCAGTTTTGTTCCACCACAGCACCATGCCAACGGGAGCAATACAATCATACAGTATTTTCCTCCTTTCTATCCATGTAGTACAAGGAAAACAAATCAATTAAAAGCATAAGAGCATCCTCAGAAACAGGGTCTTTACAGCCTGTGGAATCTGCAATCTTTTCCATCTTCATCTGTTTATTCTTCAGACTACTATGATTACATTTCCTCTAAGTGACATGGCTTCTTTTAGAATTACATGGGGAGAAAATAGTCCTGTGTTGTAATAACTAACTTACCTTAATCTTTTTTTAAGTTGTAAACTGTCATGGATGATCCTTTTAACAAACTCTAATTCACCTCCTTCTGCCATGATTTCTGTGATACCTCCTGTATTTACAGAACTAGGTGGAGGTCTCCGAGGATTTCGAGAGTTTACTCCCTGCACGACAACAACAACATGTGGTGAAAAATTTTTACACCATAAGACCAAGTCTTTGACTGTAATGTAGTTCAAAGTAAGAATGCTTAGATGTGGGGCGCCTGGGTGGCTCAGTTGGTTAAGCGACTGCCTTCGGCTCAGGTCATGATCCTGGAGTCCCTGGATCGAGTCCCGCATCGGGCTCCCTGCTCGGCAGGGAGCCTGCTTCTCCCTCTGACCCTCCCCCCTCTCATGTGCTCTCTCTCTCTCATTCTCTCTGTCTCATCTTTAAAAAAAAAAAAAAAAAAGGAATGCTTAGATGTAATTTAGTTTCCAAATATCATGCTAAATCTAGGATTTAAAAATCATACAGCCATTATAATATTACATTTTAAGCAACTGCATTCATGCTAATATTCTTCCCCAGGGTCTTTTTTACCTTCCATCTTTGTGATTTAACATATAAAAACTTTACCTTTTTTATGTAGCCTAATCTGTCACTTTTCTTTATATTTTTGTCTTGGTATCATGCACAGAAAATATTGCACCCAAAGATTATATAAATATTTACTTATGTTTTCTTCTAGTACTCTTATGATCTCACTTTTTAAATTTAAATATTTAATCCCCTCCTACCTCAAATCATATTAAAAAATTAACTCAAATAAAGCAAAGATCTAAATATAAAAGCTAAAATCATAAAATTTCCAAAGAAAACATAGAAGTAAATCTTCATGACCTTCGATTAGGCAATGGTCTCTTACAGAAATTGTACTCCTTAAAATTTAACTTATAGGCTGCAAAGGACATCAAGAAAGTGAAAATATGAGGCGCCTAGGTGGCTCAGTGGGTTAAGCATCTGCCTTCGGCCTGGGTCATGATCCCAGGGTCCTGGGATTGAGCCCTGAGTCAGGCTCCCTACTCAGCCAGGAGCCTTCTTCTCCCTCTTCTCCCTCTCCTTCTGACTTGCCCCCCCTCCGACTCCACGCTTGTGCTCTTGCTCTCACACTCTCTCTCTCTCAAATAAATAAAATCTTAAAAAAAGTGAAAAGACAACCCACAGGAGAAAATGTTTGCAAATAATAAATCTAATAAGGAAAAAATAAATAAATAAATAAATCTAATAAGGGACTTATGTCTAGAATACATAAAGAATTCTTACAACAATAATAAAAAGAAAAATAATCCAAGTTTTAAATGGGTAAAGGATCTGAACAGTCATTTCTCAAAAGAAGATATACAAATTGCCAATAAGCACATGAAAAGGTGTTCAACATAATTAACCATCAAGGAAATAAACATCAAAACCCAGATGAGATACCACTTCATACCCACTAGGATGGCTATGATCAAGACAACATATAATAAGTGTTGACAAGCATGTGGAGAAACTGGAAAGTGGAACCCTCATACACTGCTGCTGGTAGAATGAAAAATGATGCAGCCACTTTGGAAAATAGTCTGGCAGTCCCTCAAACAACTAAACAGAGTTACCTTTTGACTCAGCAATTCCACTCCTAGGTATATACCAAGGAGAAATGTCTACACAAACGTGTACATGAATGCTCACATTAGCATTATTCATAATAGCCAAAAAGTAAAGACAACCCAAATGTCCATCAATGAATGGATGGATAAATAAAATGTGGTATTTCCATACAATGGAATATTATTTGGCAATAAAAAGAAATTAAGTACTGATACATGCTACAATATGGATGAACCTTGAAAATGTACTATGTTTAGTGAAAGTCAGTAACAAAAAACCACATATTTTATGATTCCACTTACATGAAATGTCCAAAACAGGCAAATCCATAAAGACAGAAAGTAGACTGGTGGTTACCTAGGACTACAGGAGCTGTGGGAAACAGAGTAACTGCTAATGGGGATGGGGGGGTAGGGGAGTGATGAAAATGTTCTAAAATGGACTGTGATGATAGCTGTACAACTCTGTGAATATACTAAGAATAATTAAATTCTACCCTTTAAGTGGGTAAATTGTATGGCATGTGAATTATATCTCAATAAAACGCATATAAAAAGAATTTTGGTTCTGATGCTAGTAACATTCTATTTCTTCATCTGGATGCTGGTTCCACAGGAGTGTTCACTTTGGAAAAGCCAATTTACATTTATGGCATGGGTACTTTTATGTATATATCTTCATATATACCTAAAATATACTGCTGCTGGATTTCTCAGATATGTAAGCCAATACACTTCCTTTATTAAGTCAATATGAATTGAGTCCTCAGGTGCTTGATACCAGAAACATCCTGATATAGCTTCCAAATTAAAAGCTGTTGTCTGCTCTTATCTTTGCAAACATCAACAACTTAAATAGTCTATTATCTTTTTTTTTAAAGATTTTATTTATTGATTGATCTGAGAGAGCGAGCACAAGCAGGGGGAGGAGCAGCAGAGGGAGAAGGAGAAGCAGGCTCCTCACTGAGCAGGAAGCCCAACATGGGGCTCGATTCCAGGACCCTGGGATCATGACCTAAGCCGAAAACAACGACGCTTAACCAAATGAGCCACCCAGGTGCCCCTAGTCATTTGTCTTAAATCAGAAGGTACTTTACCTTGGCTTCCAACTGATTGGCAAAAAAGGGAGGGTTGCACATGCAAAAATCATAGATTATCTCAGATTCTTCTTTAAGAGCATCCATCAGGAGTGTCTTCTGTGGTACTTTTACCACTAGGAGAAAAAACAGGAACTGTTAACTACTATTAATGCTGTGGTAGTTTTCAAATAACCACAGATTCTATGACACTAGTTTCTTCAATGGGTGGAGTTTAATTTCCCTCTCCTTGAGTATAGGCTGTACTCAGTGACTCACTTTTATTGAACAGAATGAATATGAAGTGAAAGGATGTCACTTCTGAGGCTAGGTCATAAAAGAAAAATGGCTTCCTCCTTGCCCTATTTCTTGAATTACTTGCACTAAGAGAAGCCAGGCTGACACACTGTAAGGTTGCTCAAGTAACCTAGAGGAGAGATCCATGTGAATGAATCTAGCCTACTACCAATGGCCAAATTATATGAACCTTCTTGGGAGCAAATCTCTTATCCCCAGTCAATCCTTCAGATGACTGCAAACTCATCAGACTAAACCAGAACCACCCAAGTAGGCCATGCCCAAATTTCCGGCCCACACAATCTATGAGATAAATATTTGTTTAAAGTTGCTAGATTTTGGAGTAATTTGTAACACAGAAATGGACAACTGAAAAACACGTTAACAATGTTAGTATCTCCCCTTATAATGATATGCTTAACACTAGTAAGAAAAGCCTTGTTCTTCCATAAAGAGACATAAATTCTCTTTAATGAAAAAAAGATATGAACAGCTCTTCAAATATACAGTAAGCACAAAATTAAAAGTAACTGGTCACTAAGGGGACTTGACTATCTGTGGCACAGTTCCATGTACTGAAATAAAAAAGATGGTATACTTTAATCAACAGCAGCGTTTCCCTTTTAAAATCCTGGTGACAGGGCACCTGGGTAGCTCAGTCGGTTAAGCATCCAACTCTTGGTTTCAGCTCAGGTCATGATCCCAGGATAGGAAAATCGAGCCCCACATAGGGCTCCCTGCTTGGCAGGGAGTCTGCTTTTCTCCCTCTCCCTCTACCCCTCCCTCCGCTTGTGCTCTCTCTCTCTCTAAAATGATAAAAAATAAAATCTTGGTGACTAGGTTACTTCATGTACAGTTGATTTCCATTATTCGTGGTAGTTATGTTTTATAAAGTCACCATGAACACTGAATTGGAACCAATGGCTCCTAAGAGAAATGTAAGGTTAGGTAACTATGAGCCTCTGGTCAAACATTCTCAACAACTGATCAATATATAATTTTATTTTATGTGTGTTTCTGTTTAAAGACACTTTATTTATTTTTAAAAGACACCTTATTTGACATACACTGCTGATTAATACTGAAATGACGGCCTACAGCACTAGAACTCATGTCTGAATGAAGCTTATCTAACCCATGTATTTTCCCTGTAAGGTTTGTCACATTCTTCTTATGTTGAAGGAACACCTACTAGATACCACTTAAGCAGTATGTTTAGGGGCCATTTCAAACAGCAAAATCACCAAGAAAAAGTACAAAAATGAAAAAAAAAAAGTGACATTTAATAGACTATGAAAAGGACACTTGTTTATAGCAGAGAGGTGAAACAAAAAGGCAGAGCATCACCTTGTTCAATTTCAGCTGGGAACATGCGTGTTGGATGACTCAAATTTTTTGCCACTCTGCACATGTCCGTAAATGACCCTAAAAAGTACCTCGACTATTGATTTTGGGGTTAAACATAACCCCAAGCACGGAAATTCACAAATACAGAATCCACAAATTATGAGGATCAACTATATTTACCGTATTTCCTTCTGAGTTAACTCTGATAACAAAGCTGAAAACCCCATTACAATGTACCTTATTTTTTTTCTGTTCTACTTGTTTCATTTATTTTCTTCTTCCAAGATTTTATTTAAATTCAAGTTAGTTAACATACAGTGTAGTATTAGTTTCAGTAGAATTTAGTGATTAATCACTTACATGTAACACCCAGTGCTCATCCTTAATCCCCATCACCCAGTTAGCCCATCCCTCACCCACCTCCCCTACAGCAACCCTCAGTTTGTTCTCTATCGTTAAGAGTCTCTTATGGTTTGCCTCCCTCTCTGTTTTATCTTATTTTATTTTTCCTTCCACAATATACCATATTTTTTAAAATTACCAAAGTCTGATTATTAAAGCAAAAAATGAGATGTGTTAAATTATAAAAACAGGTTAATAAACAATGTTTGAAAGGGATATTTATTCTGTAGAGCTAACCTTTTATAAGATCAGATAAATTATTCTGTTCCACATTTTTCTTCGCATAGTTGAAGCACATGTCATCTACTTCTGTTGCAAGGAAATACCAGCCATTTAAGGTTGTTCCAAGTAGAGGATAGATGCAGGATGCCCCAGTACCTAGTAAAACGAAAATTCAAAACATGCTGCACACACCAGAGGGAGAGGTGAGAATAACAAGCCGAAACACCATTCTTCTCTTCTTAGAATTCTTGTAACCTTAACAGTTTAAATCCTAAGCTGGTACCTGATTACATACATACTGTAGCTGCTGGGTTCTCTAGTCATTTCAGGCATGTCAGTCTTACCTCATAACTGGATTCAAATTTCTTAGAGGACTGCAACCTCTTCTCTTGTGTGTTGTATGTAAAATGAAGTATGCTACCAGGCTGGTGATCAAGGACTACGGGACTGATTGAAAATTATCAAAACAGGGCGCCTGGGTGGCTCAGTTGGTTGGGCGACTGCCTTCGGCTCAGGTCATGATCCTGGAGTCCCGGGATCGAGTCCCGCATCGGGCTCCTTGCTCAGTGAGGAGTCTGCTTCTCCCTCTGACCCTCCCCACCTCATGCTTTCTCTCTCTCTCAAATAAATAAATAAAAAATCTTTAAAAAAAAAAAAAAGAAAGAAAATTATCAAAACACGTTAATTTACTTTAATCTCACACAAAACTCGATTTTCTTAAATGAAATCAAAGCTTAAAATAGATCAATGTATATCCCGTTCCCCAAAAGCAGAAAAAAATACATAGGATATAAAATTTTTAAGATTATTTAAATGACCAATTCCCCACATACCTGTAAGTTGTTACTTCAAGGAAATCAAAGTTAAAACAAAAAAAAACTAAAAACAACAACCACAACAAAAAACAACTAAAGAGAGATTTCATTTCTTAGATGTGATGACATGGAAAGATACCTGATCCAGATCCAAAACATCAATCACTGGCTTGCCCCACCATGGTTTCAAGGGAGACATTTGAAGGCAAATGTTCCAGGCAAAAATCTCTTTTTTTTTTTTAGATTTACTTTATTTATTTAACAGAGAGAGAGAGAGATCACAAGTAGGCAGACAGGCAGGCAGAGGGAGAGGGAGAAGCAGGCTCCCTGCTGAGCACAGAACCCGATGTGGGGCTCGACCCTAGGACCCTGGGATCATGACCTGAGCCGAAGGCAGATGCTTAACGATCTGAGCCACCCAGGCGTCCCCAGGCAAAAATCATTCTTTGACAACTAGGGTTTGGTCCTAAACTTGTATCCCCCAACCATGGACTGGACTATATACTAACCACAAATTCTGCTTTTATGACCACTGACTAATCTTGGCCAATAAGATCCAAAGCACACATTCAAGAGAAGAAAAGCCAGTGATTCTCCTGAAGGCCTATGGTGGTCAGCACCTACCAGCCACTCCAGGCCTGCTCTTCCCTGACCACATCTTGGTGCCAGTCTAGTCTTCTAAGGATTTGGCAAGAAGAGATGAAGGCTGGAGATACTCTTCACCCAGAGGAAACCCAGGGTCATCGTACTGCTTCTCCATTAAGTATTCTGAACAGGCTGATAAAAGACAGGACAATAGGGGTGCCTGGTGGCTCAGTTGCTTAAGCATCTGCCTTCGGCTCAGGTCACGATCCCAGGGGTTCTGGGATCGAGTCCCGCATCGGGCTCCTTGCTCAGCAGCTGCTTCTCCCTCTGCCTGCCGCTCCCCCTGCTTCTGCTCACTCACTCTCTCTCTCTGACAAATAAATAAAATCTTAAAAAAAAAAAAATCTCTAACAAAAAAAAAAGACAGTACAATAACTAACAGCCCTTTGACAGTCACCGTGATTGCTATATTTCCTATCATGTTTACTTATATCATCCTGGCCCTGAGGCTACTGGGCAAACACCTCCTTGGGGATGTATGAAGTAGTAAAGGAACGGGTGGTAAAGGGAACTCAAGCTCCTCTCAGAGGCGACAATAATTTAGTCCCTGCTAGCCATTCTGGTAAGCCAGGGTCATTAAGAGTAAGGAAGAAGCTCTGTAGGAAAAAATACCTGGACCAGATGCCAAGCCTTGATTCTCACACAACTGCCTTTCTTTTCATACTTCAACTCATTTAAAAGCAAACAGCAAAAAAGAAAAAGTACTTTTCTTCAACTGCCCAAAGATCAGGTACCTCCAGGGTAATAAATACAGGTAAAGGACATGTCCTCTGCCAAAAAAATCAAATTTCTCAATTCTTAAGACCAAAAAGACTTGAATTCTAACACCCTCAGAGAGCTGAATGACATTTTAAAATGGGTAATAATCCTTGTAATGATAAATAAAAATGGAAAGTGTATAATCATAGAATTAGAGCAAACTGATGGAATCTGGGGGAAGAATTTATGTAAAATCCTAATTAGAATGAATGTGATTTCAGCAAGAGTGCCCCTTGTGAAGAGCTAAAATCCATTAACCTCCTATATCCCCAAGTGTTACTTTAGACAGTTTGAGGCATAATTAAAATAAATTAGTACCAAGTAGGCTCTTATGCTTTTTAAGCTTTCTATACCCATCAGCCAATGTGCCATTAACATAAAAGGGAAGAGCTTTCGCTAAACCCCTCATTTTTACATAGTGCTTAGCTCATATGGGGCATTCAGAAACTGAATGTTGAAGAATGATGTATTTAGGGGAGCCTGGGTGGCTCAGTCAGTTGAGCGTCTACCTTCAGCTCAGGTCATGATTTCCAGATCCTGGGACTGAGCCCCACATCAGGATCCCTGCTCAATGGCAAGTCTGCTTCTCCCTTTCCCTCTGTGATCTCTCTTGCTCTCATTCTCTAATAAATAATAGTATTTTTTACTTTATTTTTTTATTTAAAGATTTTTTATTTATTTATTGGACAGAGAGAGACACAGCGAGAGAGGGAACATAATCAGGGAAGTGGGAGAGGGAGAAGCAGGCTTCCCACAGAGCAAGGAGTCCAATGCGGGGCTCAGTGACCTGAGCCAAAGGCAGACGCTTAATGACTGAGCCACCCAAGTGCCCCAATAAATGTATTTTTTAAAAAAAAAGAATGATGTATTTATCCATGAACATTCAACAAATTATTTATTGGACACCTACTATGTGCCAGAAACTGTGCTGTGCCTTGGGATATTATAGTAAGCACAAAATAACAGGCTCTGCACTTGGTAATCTAGTGGTCGAGAAAGACATTAATCAGACAAGTCAATGTGTGGTTAAAAATAAATCAAATACCGGGTGCCTGGGTGGCTCAGTTGGTTAAGCGACTGCCTTCAGCTCAGGTCATGATCCTGGAGTCCCGGGACCAAGTCCCGCATCGGGCTCCCTGCTAAGCAGGGAGTCTGCTTCTCCCTCTGACCCTCCCCCCTCTCATGTGCTCTCTCTCTCTCATTCTCTCTCTCTCTCTCAAATAAATAAATAAAATCTTTTAAAAATAAATAAATAAATAAATCAAATACCATGAAGGAAGAAACATGGTTTTCTAAAGCTCATAATCAAGGAAATTGTCTTCTGCTAGAAGGTCAGAGAAGGCTTTCTTGAGAGAATAAGGCTTGAGTTGACAACTACAGGATAAATGAGATTAACAAGGTAAGAGTGGGGAAGTTACAGGCAGAGGGAACAACAGTACAAAGGCCTAAAATCATGGTGCCTTACTTATTAGAAGATCTAAAGACCACAAGTGTAAAAAACAAGGAAGCACACTGGATGAGGCTTAGAGAGGCCCAAAGAAGAGGGCAGGGAACAGACAATGGACATGCTAACAGACCAAGCTAGGGTATTGGGTGTTTATCACAGAAGCAACAGGAAGTCATGAAAGTGATAAACATGTGACCAGGTATGGATTTATACATAGTTTCTGAAAAATGAAATGGAGAGGCAACAGAGTAGATGAGAAGAGTAGTTAAAAAGTAATTCTGGGGATGCCTGGGTGGCTCAGTCGGTTAAGCATCTGCCTTCAACTCAGGTCATGATCCTGGGGTGCTGGGATTGAGTCCCGTGTTGGGCTCCTTGCTCAGTGGGGAGCCAGCTTCTCCCTCTGCCTGCACGCACGCGTGCTCTCTCTCTCTGACAAATAAATAAAATCTTAAAAAACAAAAAAGTAATTCTTCAGACCATGAGAGATGACAGTGATTTGGACTGAGATGGTGACACTGGAGATGGAGAGAAGTAGATGATTTAAGAAATATACTTTTATAAATAAATAAATAAATAATTTTAGATAAAAAAAAAACTTTTTTAAAGATGTATTTATTTATTTATTTGTCAGAGAAAGAGACAGACAGAAGGCACAAGCAGGGGGAGCAGCAGGCAGAGGGAGAAGCAGATTCCCCACTGAGCAAAGAGCAGGACTTGATCCCAGGACCCCGGGATCATGACCTGAGCTGAAAGCAGACACTTAACCAACTGAGCCACCCAGGCGTCCCAAAAAATATTTAAGAGACAAAGCCAGCAGGGCACGTATTGAATGGAGCATTGGGTGTTATACGCAAAAGATGAATCATGGAACACTACATCAAAAACTAACAATGTAGGGCGCCTGGGTGGCTCAGTTGGTTAAGCGACTGCCTTCGGCTCAGGTCATGATCCTGGAGTCCCTGGATCGAGTCCCGCATCGGGCTCCCTGCTCGGCAGGGAGTCTGCTTCTCCCTCTGGCCCTCCCCCCTCTCATGTGCTCTCTCTCATTCTCTCTCTCTCAAATAAATAAATAAAATCTTAAAAAAAAAAAACTAACAATGTAATGTATGGTGATTAACATAACATAATAAAATTAAAAAAAAACCAGGAAATGATGATAGACAGTCTTGGTGAGAATGGGGAGATGTATCAAGGAATATCAAGGATGACAGGGTGGACTGTGGTAGATTCACTGAAATAAGGAATGAAGAAAGAGGACCAAGATCAGAAAGAAAAGAATATGAGCATGGTCTTGGACATGGCAAAGTCTGAGATGTTCTTGAGATATCCATATTTCTGACATTTGGGACTAGAGCTCAAGATCTGAGTAGGCAGAGTACATAAATTTGTGGGTTATTTGCATGGAGGTGGAAAAAAGTCATAGATGTGGATGAAACTGCCTAGAGTTAGGATGCTGAATAAGAAAGGGCTAAAGACGGGGCATCTGGGTGGCTCAGTCGATTAGGCATCTACCAGGGTCCTGGGATCGAGACCTGCATCCGGCTCCCTGCTCAGCGGGGAGTCTGCTTCTCCCTCTACCCCCTTGCTCATGCTCTCTCTCTCTCTCTCTCAAAAATAAGTAAATAAAATCTTAAAAAAAAAAGAGAGAGAGAGAATTTAAAACCATATATACCTATGTCAATTCCTCTTCGGAGAGTATTTTTGTCAGAGTCCTGATGGCCAATCAGATCTTCCACCCAATGAATGTAGTTGAGTCTCAAGGGAACTGTAGGAATCAGTCTTTCCAACGGAATATCAATAGAAAGTCCAAAATCTTCCTTTAGAAGAGTACAGGTCAGAGCTCTGACTGCTTCCGGGTCTTTAAAATTAAGACTGAGGAATGGAGAAAAAGAAAGAAAACTGATTAGTAAGATTCGTGGTGCTATACAAGTTCTATGGCGGCCAGACAGTACCAAACACCCATCTGAATTCTCTAGGAGACCACACATAAAGAGCTATGTAGGGCATTCAGCAAACACATATGGGTGCTTAACACAGTCACAGTATATTAAAGGCAGTATAAATTTCCACTGAAAACACTGCATTTTCATACAAGGAACATGGAGGACGGGAGTGCCTCTGTTCCAATTCCTGCCCGACTGTCTCCTTACTTAGTTATGTGACTTTGGACAAGTTATTTAACCTCCATGACACTGTTTCCTCAGCTGTAAAAGGGGGATAATAATACCTATATCATAGTGTTGCTGTGAGATAATCTGAGAAAAGTTAGCATAATGCCCAGTACGTAGTAACTATTATACAAACAATGGCTATTTTTATTATTATCGTTAACATTATTTGACTTTAGCACTTTTTAAAAATCATATTTAAAAGTGGAAAGAAAGCAGTATAAAATGCTTAATAATGAAAACAAGGTAAGATACTTAAATATTATAGATAACAATTTTAAAAGGTAACTATTTTTAGCAGCTTTACTGAGGTATAATTTACACAAAATTCCTAAGTATACAATTCAAGTTTTTATTATATTAAGAGTTGGGCAACCATTACAATCCAGTTTTAGAACACTTCCATCACCCCAAAAAAGATACCTCATGCCCATTTGCAAGCCATTCCTTATTTCCACTGTCAGCTCTAGGCAACCACTAATGTACTTTCTGTCTCCACAGATTTGCTTCTTGTGGACATTTCAACTAAATAAAATCATACAATATGTGGCCTTTATGTCTTGATTCTTTTACTTACCACAACCTTTGTGAGGTTCACCCATAGTGTAGCATGTATCAGTACTTCATTCCTTTACATGACCAAATAACATTCTATTATAGGAATAACCTCATTAGTGGTTTGTTTATCCACTCACCACTTAATGAACATTTGGATTCCTTCACTTTTTGGCTCTCATGAACAATGGTGCTTTAAATATTCTCATGCAAGTCTTCGTATGATATTACCCATATATGATATTTACATTTAACTTTTTAAGAAACTTGTGCCAATATGATTATTTTAATGTTAAAATGTTCCTAAAGTGGAAACCTTAAAACAAAACTGAAGATCTTATTTATAAATGGGGCAATGAAAAGAGAGCAGAAAGCCAGTAGACGGAACTGAAACTAAGAAAGGAGCTTTGAGGGGCACCTGGGTGGCTCAGTCGTTAAGCATCTGCCTTTGGCTCAGGTCATGATCCCAGGGTCCTGGGATCAAGTCCCACATCGGGCTCCCTGCTCCGCGGGAAGCCTGCTTCTCCCTCTCCCACTCCCCCTGCTTGTGTTCCCTCTCTCGCTGTCTCTGTCAAATAAATAAAATCTTTAAAAAAATAAAATAAAATAAGGAGCTTTGAAACTGCTCTAAATTCTGGCCTAAAGTTATATGTTCCCATCTTAGCCATCAATTGACCAATCATTCTGAAAAACTCAATGCTCAGATGGAAGCAAGAGCGCTTTATCCACCTGGCTACCATGGAAACTTCAGGGAGATACCATGGACCCAAGCTCCACCATCACCCACAGCAAAAATATTCTAGAGTATGGGAGTTCAGAAATCTGGACTCTAATCTGGAGTCTGCTATCAACTAGCCATGGACTGAAGGTCACTTCAATTCTTAGGTCTCAGTTTCTCCATCTATAAAACTAAGGAATTAGAGGGCGCCTGGGTGGCTCAGTCGGTTAAGCGTCTGCCTTCGGCTCAGGTCATGATCCCAGGGTCCTGGGATCGAGCCCCACATCGGGCTCCCTGCTTGGCGGGAAGCCTGCTTCTCCCTCTCCCACTCTCCCTGCTTGTGTTCCCTCTCTTGCTGTATCTCTCTCTGTTAAATAAATAAATAAAATCTTTAAAAAAAAAAAAAAAAAACTAAGGAATTAGACATAATAAAAATCCAAACATCCCTCCAGGTAAAATTTTAAGGGTTTATGATGCATACTATGAATTAGTAAAATGGTATTCATTTAAATATTTGTAGAGCAAATTATAGAGACGTGGAACAATCAATAGTTACTGAAGACATAGGATAACCAAACACCAGTAAACATTTCCATTATCCTCCAGTCTGATACCTAACAAATTCTTTATTCTTCTGCTTTATGACAGTAAGCATTTAATAACACTATTAAACATATATTAAGGAATATACAATCAATGGTTGTAGATGACATGATCTACTCTTTATTTTTTTAAGGGGGGGTGCAAAGGGAGAAAGAATCTTAAGCAGGCTACCCTCCCAGCGTGGAGCCAACACAGGGCTCAATCTCACAAACCTGAGAGACATGATCTACCCTTTAAAAAAACTGTTCAGAAAAACACAACTTTAATAAGTAAAAGAATTTGCAAAGAGTGATGATGAGCAGGATTAGATTTCAGGAATACATACAAAATTTGTTATCTATACAAAAACTGCACTCTATACTTGAATATATGGTTTCTTATGGCCTTTAAGAATGCTTCAGGGTTGGGCACCTGGGTGGCTCAGTCGGCTAAGCATCCGAATCTTGATTTTAGTTCAGGTCATGTTCCCAGGGTCCTGGGATCAAGCCCCACATCGGGCTCCCTGCTCAGCAGGGAGTCTGCTTCTCCCTCTCCCTTTGCCCTCCCCCGCCCCCAGCCCGTGCTCATTCTCACTCTCTCTCAAATAAATAAAATCTTAAAAACAAACAAACAAACAAACAAAAAACAAAAATGTTTCAGGGTACTAGTTTGTAGCAAAAAAATAAAAGATATTAAGAACAAAGATTTCACTGGGAGCGTAAATTGGTGCAGCCACTATGGAAAACAGTATGGTGGTTCCTCAAAAAATTAAAAACAGAACTACTGAGAGAGAGAGAGAGACAAACTAAGAAACAGACTCTTAACTATAGAGAATTGATGGTTACCATCAGAGGTCTGAAATAGGTGATAGGGATTAAGGAATGAACATGCTGTGATGAGTACTGAATAATGTATAGAACTGCTGAATCGCTATTATTGTATACCTGGAAACTAATATAAAACTGTAATATAAACTATACTGGAATTAAAAAAAAAAAATAGAACTACCATATGGGCCAGCAATTCCACTTCTGAGTATCCAAAGAAAATGAAAACACTAACTCAAAAAGATATATGCAGGGCACCTGGGTGGCTCAGTCGGTTAAGTGACTGCCTTCGGCTCAGGTCATGATCCTGGAGTCCCTGGATCGAGTCCCGCATCAGGCTCCCTGCTAAGCAGGGAGTCTGCTTCTCCCTCTGACCTCCCCCCTCTCATGTGCTCTCTCTCTCTCATTCTCTCTCTGTCAAATAATAAATAAAATCTTTAAAAAAAAAAAAAAAAGATATATGCACCCCTATGTTCACTGCAGCATTATTTACAATAGTTAAGACATGTAAACAACCTACATGTCCATCAGTGAATAAATGGATTAAAAAATGTGAAACCACACACACACACACAGAGGAATACTATTCAGCCATAAATATGAGTGAAATCTTGCCATCTGCAACAACAATGGTGGACCGTGGCATCGTGCCAAGTAAAATGGATCAGACAGAGAAGGGCAAATACCGTATAATCTCACTTAAATGCAGAATCTAAAATGAAAAACAAAAAACACCTCATAGGGGTGCTTGGCAGGTTCAGTCGGTAGAGCATGCAATTCCTGATCTTAGGGTTGAGCCCAAGCCCCACACTGTGGGTAGAGTTTACTTAAAAAACAAACAAAAAACCGTCATAGACAGGAAACAGATTGGTGGTGGCCAGAGGCAGGGGGTGGGTGAAACAGCGAAGGGGGTCAAAAGGTATAGATTTCCACTTATAAAATAAATAAGTCACGGAGATGTAATGCACAACATGGTGGCTATAGTAAATACTATATTGCAAATTTGAAAGTTGCTAAGAGAATCTTAAAAGTTCTCATCACAAGAAAAATTTTGTGACTATATGATGACAGATATACTTATTGTGATCATTTTTAATATATACAAATATTGAATCATCAAGTTATATACCTAAAACTGATATATGTCAGTTATACCTCAGTTTTAAAAAATAAAATTTTAATATAATCTATAGCAAACAGAAAGAAGATGGCTATTGTGGAATCTCAAGAGATATAATCAGAATCCAGAAGCAATGAGCCTACCTAGTGTTCCAGATCTTGGTTTCCAAATACCACTCCCATTAAAAGGAATCAGAGGTCCTTAGTTGAATGGCTATTCCAGATTTGAAGTAGGAGAAAGTTTAAGATGAGCCTGGAGCACTTTGTTATATCAGAAAACAGGACATGCTCAAAGATGAGGAAAGTCAAAAGGACATGGGCCAGTCAATGAGGCTCCCACTGACCAAATCTGGCACAATTTGAATGAAGAATGCTATCAAGGGATTATAACCCACAGAATAAAAGAAAGATACATGAGTCCATACTTAAATAAATGGGGGAGAAAACACAGCTCTTATTTACAGTGGGGTGATAACTTAACACATGTAGAAGAAATGAAGGAGCTAGAAAATTACACTTGGCAATCACCATGCTCCTGTTTCAATTAAGAATCATCAATGGATGCTAAAAACAGTAGATAAAAGTTCATTGAGAAACAGAGTATTTACAAGGTCTCAAAGTACTTCCCCACAAATTATCAATTACAAAGGAGAAAATTGTAACTCTATAATGAAGAAATCTGATGAATACCACCTTAAACAAGCGATCAATGTTAACACCACTTAATTATGGGACAAACTGACATCATATGCTTCAATAAAACATCAAGAAGGACAAAACAGGGGCACCTGGGTAGCTCAGGTGGTTAAGCGTGTGGCTCAGTCAGTTGAGCATGTGCCTTCTGCTCAGGTCATGATCCCAGTGTCCTGGGATCAAGCCCCACATTAGGCTCCCTGCTCAGCG